TGTCTCTAGCTGTCCTTGTCATAGGAAAACAGGGGTCACACTGAATCTTACCGGAGTCATATGAGGAAGGGTGGTTCTGCATCAGGGGAGGTCTTTATCCATCACTGTTTTCCAAGATCACAGGGCTAGGTGGACTTCTGAATTGTCAGATCTAGAAGATTGTCAAATAAGAAGGAATGATAATGCTAAGTAGTGACAACTGCTAGCTCTGTGGGGAAAGTGGACCATCCCACAATGTAGGAGCTCTGTAAGATGGAGAAGCCTTTCTGTAATGTAGTAAGCACAATAAACTAACTCTGCAGCTCAACCAGTGCACCTTTAGAAATTTATTCTAAAGACAGGCTTGGCCAAGTATGCTGAAATGACATATTCTTGTTTTAAATGTCCAACATTTTGACTGGTGAGATTTAATAGGGGCATTTGCACACAAATAAAGAGTGGAATGCAATGTGAGTATTAACAAAGATAATACACCATATAGCGTAGTGATGTTCTTCGAGTCAGATTGTTTGGGTTGAGATCCTAGCAGCTACATTCATATATGTAGATCTTGGTTCATTCACCTAAGCTCTCTGTGCCCCAGTGTCCTTAATCAAGAAATAGGGATATGTCTACCCCCACAGGCTCAACTGTATAGTACCCGTCACATGGAATATAATTGTAGTAGAAGAGGAAGTATTATTAGGTTTGTGTTATTGGTATCCAAAAGTATTGCCATGTATGAAATAGACAAATCTAGTTAGAAAATTAAATATTTATTATGATAGCAGAGCCAAAGCCAGCCAGAGCAAGAGATAGAGCTACAACAGTACAAACATCTGGGTGAATATGAATTTAGCTTTGTAATTTTTACATAATATACTTCTGAACTTTCCATTTTTTCTCTTAATAAAATACATGGGGGAAATAAATAAGGCCATTTCTTAAAGATTGCTAAGAATTATGCAGAATATTAGGGTGTTAATACGAATACCAGAGTTCAGGGCAATAGTTGGCCTGGGGATAATAATTCTCTAGTCATTGCAATTGAAGGTAAATTCATTTCCATAGATCTAGTTTATGGCAAGATTACTCTGGAGTTTAGTCACTAAAAACATAAATAGCTTTTCAAATGAAAGGTGTTCCTGCAAGAGCTAGCAAGCTAGTCCACAGCTGAAAAGTTAGGAGATTACCAGTTAAGGTTTAGCCGTAAATATTCTTGCTATGACTCATTAACACCAAGAGAAAATCTCCACAAAACTTGCTAAATGACTCTTACTCCAAATCATTGTTCCTCTTTAAGTCATTGAGGTCTTCTTGGCGTCAAACTCTTGGCAAGCCCATGAATGGAGAAGGGTAAAGAAAAGAGGGGACTAAAATGTTCCTTCCTTCCAAATAGCCTACAATAAAGGGTAAAAGACCAGGACAGGTTAAAGATCAGCCTGGTTCTATCACTTATTTTCTGAATTTGAGTAAACCACTAAAAATGGTACATGCAAGGGAGGGGTCCAATGGCATGAGCAATGAACTTGCAGTTTAACAAAATGCATACCAGGAAGCTGGAACGTATATTGCCAGAAGCGGGGAACTCAAGGGGAGAGTGGTCATACAAATGGAAAGAAGAAGGTTGGGTGAAAACAGTGATGATATTCAATGTACATATGTGAAAATGGAACCAGGCAGTCTGAGTGGATGAGTGAGGTTAGGAGAGATGGGGGAGAATGAGGCTGGGATGACAGTGATCTACATGTGTTCTATTCATAAATTGATTTGTAGACTTGAAACCCCTTTGTACAACTGCTTAAAGATAGTTTAAAAATCTACGTATGTCAGTGTTCGCATGTTAAATAGAGATTCTAACAGTACCTCGAATCAATATGATGATCCAGGAAATTAACTATATGGATTATTTGCAAAAGCACCTACCAGGCAGGTAAGCATTTTTAATATGTGCTGACTTTCATCCCTTTAAGAATCATGGGAGGGGTGCTGTAATCCTAGCTACTTAGGACGCTGAGATCTGAAGATCACAGCTCAGTCAGCCTGGTAGGAAAGTCTATAATACTTGTGTCTCCAATTAGCCACTAGAAAATTGGAAGAGGCACTGTGACTCAAAAGAGGTAGAGTGCTAGTCCTGAGCAAAAGAGCTCAGGGACAATGCCCAGAATCCGAACTCAAGCTCCACCACCGACAAAAAAAATTAATTAAAAAATTAAAAAAGACTAATAGGCATCTGTGAAGACAATGTGCAAGTGGTGGTGTTGCTTTAGGAAGGACACAGAAAAGGGGTGTTGAGGTTGCTTGGCCATAAAGAACAACCTTCTAGAACAAGGTTTCAATGGCTGCCTCTCTCCCTTTCTTGTCTTTTTATTCTTTAGAGAAAAAAAATCTAACACATTTCTGTATATGTGTCCCTTGTCCATAGCATGTTATTTCATTTTGTTTTTCATCTGGACATTATGCAGATTTAAATGAGATTCCATAATTGATGGCAAATATACTATTGATTTCTATTCGATAGATAATTATGAAATTAAATGATAAAGTTTGATGAGCACTTAGGATCTTAACCTAATTTAATTGGAAGAATCACAAACTAATCTTCATGAGATACATGAATCATATATATTAATAAGATAATAAAACATTATTGTCACACTTACGAGCTGGTGAAGGATGTCTTATAGTCTGCTATTTTACCCATTTTAAGTGCTACAATGTTTATAAACGATGAACATACTATCAAATAAAAGTAAAAGCACCAGAAACAGCTACAAATGATAAATCCACATGCACATAGCCTTATAAAAATGACAACATGAAGCTCAGAGACTCTGAAAATAAGTGAAGGGCACGTCAATTAAAATCCTGAATGCCACTTGCCCAACTCACATTTGACAATGAGTATCTTCAACCTGGCTGTGTCCAAGTCCTGTCCTTCTTCCCTCCCTCCCAGAAGTGCTCTGCCTCTCTTATTCTGTAACACTTATCTCAAGGCATTGTGATTGTTTACATGGCCTCTCCCAAACTAGACTCTGAACCTATTCCTGGCACCAGCATTCTCAATACCTGAGGCAAATGTTTGGACTAGAAGGTGCTTCCTGACTGTTCTAACTCCAAGTTTTGAGAGCTTTCCTGTATACAATATTTCTCATGGACTGTGTTTCTTCAGATGTGGTCTGTGGAATTATAGAATCAAGAGGGGAACCTAATTTGAAAAACACATTTAGGTTGACTTCAGACCTAGGGAGGCAAATTTCTGGGCAGAAGACCTGTAAACCATAAACAAGTGCTTCATTTAACGACTGAAAACAATAGTTGAACCATCCTACTTCGTGTGATTTGTGCAAGAGGTCGCTTTGAAGGGAGAAATGTAAAACCTCAGCGCTTTCAAGATGGTTGGTATTCGGGGCTCAGTTTTAGGGTCACTTCCCTGTTTAGCTGTTAAGAGTTCTTCAACAAGGCCAGAGTTTTTCAGGTTGACCACTAAGGGGCAGTAGCGTATGGGGAAAATGGGCCCCAAGATTGACTGGGGCCCATTGCCTTTGAAATAGCCCAGTAATAAAGCCAAGAAGTCATGAGAGTATGACTTAATCGCTTACCTACTTTTTTCTACTATCTTAGGGACTTGTCTTCAAAGCATCATCATTTTTACTATTGTTATTATTTCTAAGTTATGAGTGACCTTTCCTCAAAACCAGGAAAATAGTGTCTAGAAATATAATTTTGTTTTTATTCCTCATCCCCTGCCTTTTGAAATTACGGAAATTGACCTTAACTGAAGGAATCTTCTTCTAACAATTGATAAATCAGAAGGGGGAAATTTTTAATTATTGAAGAATTATTACATTAGTTGATCTATGTAATGTAGGAAGGATATTGTATCTATAAGATTTTGGTCAAGAAAGAATCTAATACTGTGAATTTCAGAACCATTATTATACCTAAATTGTGCCATAGATCATAAAATAAAAACAGAATCTTGGGTAATGTTTTGCAGGCCACAGTATTACAATGTCATTAATTGACACACATATGACCTAAGAATAGCAATTACATTGTTTTGTAGTCATTTAGTAGATGCTTCAAAAACATTGTTTGCATACAGATTCTTTTCTTAACACTACTAGCTCCCTGTGTTATTAATTATAACATATAAGGTGATAGTCTTGAAATACATCTTTCATAGTAGCTACAGTAAAGCTGTCCTGTGTACATTGTGAAAGAGTAGGGCTAGGATGGAAAATTTGTATGTGGTTTCTAAGATCATTCAGTGGTACTATCTAAATTTGGTTCCTCCATGAGCCTATCCTATCAATTTTCAGTCTTCGCTAAATTTTTCCATTCTTTCATAGATAGTCTGGTAAACAAGAAAGTTTGAGTACATATTGAGAGAGGGAAAGGATTCTAGTTCGACCCTGTTGAAATTAAGATGTCTTCGAATTATCAAATTGAAAATTGTCCAATTAAAAAATGAATACACTGATTATATTGATTATATTAATATCAATTTGACAAGGATGCATCTCCAAATTATTGCAATCTGTGAAGACCACAAATAACTCTTAAAAGGAAACTCCTGTAAACTCTGAAATTATAAACAACAAAAAAATGTATTCCCTAAGTACGTTTAAGCTATTAGAAGTAAACTTTATATCAGTCTTTGCACTCTATACTACAGGGATTTTGAGATTATAATTTGAAGGAGATGCAATTTATTTCTTCCGTCTTGCAGAATGGAAGTAGCTACTCAGGGGAGTAACCTAGAAAATAAAACTCAGCTTCATTCACTTAGCATTATATTTGACTTACTTTAATGACTTTCTCCAAGGAGTGTGCAGTTTAAGTGTAAATGAAGCTTCAGAGTATCTCCTGCGGAGACCAAGGTGTTACAGATCGCATGCAAAAATTATTATAAACATTACTTTCATGTAACTAGAGGGTCCCCCCCCCCATTCAGAAGCTTTTGATTAACTACATCAAGAATTTAGGAACTTGACAATAATTTGAACAAGAAGGCCATGGTAAACAATTTGGCCCAAGCGGAAGCTGTGCAGCTCTGCTATGAGAACATGAATGGATCCTGTCTTAAAACCTCTTATTTGCCAGGTCCTGGAGCAATCCTGTACACAGTCCTGGGACTGGGGGCCGTGTTGGCTGTGTTTGGGAACTTACTGGTCATTACTGCTATCCTTCACTTCAAACAGCTGCACACACCTACGAACTCTGATCGCATCCCTGGCCTGCACTGACTTCTTGGTGGGAGTGACAGTGATGCCTTTTAGCACAGTGAGGTCTGTGGAGAGCTGCTGGTACTTTGGGGAGAGTTACTGTAAATTTCATACGTGCTTTGATACGTCCTTCTGTTTCGCCTCCTTATTTAGTTCATGCTGTATTTCTGTTGATAGGTATATCGCTGTTACGGATCCAATGAGCTATCCAACAAAGTTTACCGTTTCAGTTTCAGGAATACGCTTTGTTCTCTCCTGGTTCTTTTCCATCACTTACAGTTTTTCCATCTTCTACACTGGGGCCAACGAAGAAGGAATTGAGGACTTAGTTGTTGCTCTGACCTGTGTGGGAGGCTGTCAAGCTCCACTAAATCAAAATTGGGTTCTGCTTTGTTTCTTGTTATTCTTTCTACCCACTGTCGCCATGGTGTTAATATACAATAAGATATTTTTGGTGGCTAAGCATCAGGCGAGAAAGATAGAAAGTACAGCCAGCCAAGTTGTTTCAGCCTCAGAGAGCTACAAAGAAAGAGTAACCAAAAGAGAGAGAGGCTGCCAAAACGTTGGGGATTGCTGTAGCAGCATTTCTGGTCTCTTGGCTACCATACATTATTGATGCTGTCATTGATGCTTATATGAATTTCATAACCCTTCCGTATGTTAATGAGATATTGGTGTGGTGTGTTTATTATAACTCAGCTATGAACCCCTTGATATATGCTTTTTTTTTGGGGGGGGGGGGTCCGGTCGTGAGGCCTGAGCTCTGGGCCTGGGCGCTGTCCCTCAGCTCTTCAGCTCAAGGCTAGCGCTCTACCACTTGAGCCACAGCGCCACTTCCGGCTTGTTTTTTCTTTTTGCTTATGTGGTGTTGAGGAATCGAACCCAGGGCCTCAGGCATACAAGGCAAGCGCTCTACCACTGAGCCACCTTCCCAGCCCTATGCTTTTTTTTAACCCCTGGTTTCGGAAGGCAATAAAACTTATTGTAAGTGGCAAAGTCTTACAGAGTGATTCATCAACCACTAATTTATTTTCTGATGAAGCAAATATAGATTAAAAAGATTACTGCAGGGGTTTCAATTCTAGCATGGAATTAGATGAAGTAAGACAGTAGAGAGGCAAGCATATGTTTGTAGCAAGTAAGAGAACACACAGTATTTGGTTCACAGCTCCTGCCATCTTCATGTGTCTCAGCACTGTTTAGAATTTAGTGACAGATGAATAAGATTTGTTGGTTCCTTCCCATTCAGTGGTACTTAATGGCCTTCTCATTTTCTGCATTTACTCTGAAATTTCTACTTCTATCTTTGGGTATGCTATAATTTCTTTCGCATTTATGAGTTTGCTTAGTTGTCTCAAATACATGTAGTGGGAGAGAGGTTTCTGTCTGACTTGGAAGTTTTATTCTCTGATGACAAAACAATTTAAAGTATCACTTGAGTGGTAAAAATATAAAATTGTAAATTCTTCAAATAAATTTGTAATCTAAAGGACTTTCCAAAGAGCTAAAATGTGACACTTTCTTGTGGTTATAGATCATTTGAAAAACATTTGAACTCTTGCATTTCCTGAACCCAGCAACCCTTTCCTTCCATTTTGTAGAGTCTGTAGTCTCACACACACACACACACACACACACCCTTAGGAATGATATTGTTATACATGTTACCTTTGGAGAACATAATTTATGATCATAGGAGGTATGTATAACAAGATGGTCTCTATAGTTCTTTCTCAGTAATATGAAATAGAGAATTTTAAGAGGTCAATTCAAATGAATTGATTTTCACCTTTAAGGGTGTTTTTTTTGTTGTTGTTTTGCTCTTGTACTATGAAGTAGGCACTGTATATGACATTAGAAACATAAAACTGAGCAAGTCAAATATAAGCAAAGATTTCTTGAAGACAGCAAATCCTGAAACAAATATTGTACACTCCAATAAAAAATCCGTTTTCTCATTGGAATAAGAACTTTTTCTTGAGACAGAGTTTCAGTGTAATTCATAGTCCTCTCTCCTCAGTCTTTTGTGCAATGAGATTATAGGTGTGAACCCCCATACCCACCCCAACATAAAATTTAATTGTTTTATGTCCCGACCAGCAGGACTTCAACCAGGGCAGTGAACCTAACCGAGAAGGAATGAAGGGACAAGAGACACGAAGAAGGACAGCAAGACAAGGATTCTGATCAAGCTGCCAAATTTTATTTTTCACACAGGGGTATTTATATGCTTAGAATAAGGAAGCTTTTTCATTGGGCGTAGCAGCTGCAGGATGCTTGCTTAGGGCAATGTGAAAAGGTGGTCAATAGCAGCTACCTGGTCTTTGTTTGGGGCAGGATGCAAAGACCAGATTCTGTAAATAGCCTTGAGAGATGTTCCAGCGAGATAGTCAAGCTTATCATGCAGAGAGACTCCCTGCAGGGCTCTCGACATCTCCCCCTTTCTTATTTAGAAAATTGACCATCAATTGTTGGTGCTCTTTTTGAGGGGGTGACAGAGGCTCTGTTCCTCTAAGGGCCCAGGGTTTTTCTCCACTCCGAGCGAGCGTCCTCACTCGGGGAGGGGAATTTTACAGACCTTGGCATGTTTTTTGAGGAGACGGCTTGTGGGTATGCATGCCAACCGTCATGCACCAGAGCTTGCCACTCAGGGGTCTTGGGTTTTGGGATCTCGCGGATCCATCCCCCTGCAGTCTTACCTGCACCCTTGATTAGAGCATTTTTTCTTCCTCCCATAGGTGCATCCTCCCCCAAGCGGAGGGGCCTATAGGAGGAGGGGCGAACCTATCCCTTATGGCAATATGTCTTGCCCGTTGAAAGGTCAGGAGTTATGAATAAGGAGGGTTTTCTAAATAAGAAAAAAAGGAGGGCTGTTTCCCACTGGAACAAGCTCATGGCAAAACACTAATTAAAAGCCTGGGGTCAATCCTAGATCTCGATGCTGCGGTCTGCCATATCAAGGCGATGGTGATGAACCTGTATGGGCTTAGAAACCAAGAGATTAATCTGTTATTTAATAAATTTAAACAGGATGGTCCATGTCTGGAGTTCTAGCTGCATCTGCAAGAGAAAAGGCATCATCCTCGGGGGGAAGGCTTCCCCTGGGTTGTGGTAAGCCATTCACCTGTTTTATCAAGCGTTCTGGCAGCCACCTTGGGGCCGCTTGTTCTTGATCTAAAATACAGGCTGAACCTCGCCCCCAGATAAGAACAGGATCTGGGCCCTTCCATTTGCCTGTAAGGGGGTCTCGCCACATGACAGACGGGCGGGCAGAACTGGAAGATGGGTGCCAATACCTGTCAGCTGCCGAGTGGCCTTCATTGTCCAGAGTTAGAAAATTAAGGGCAAACAATGTGTGACTAAGGCAATCCCTAGGAGTGGAAAATGAAAAGGCAGAGGCTTTGAGGCGAGTAAGCCAGGTTTTTAGGGTGTGGTGGGCTCGTTCTACAATGCCCTGACCTTGGGGGTTATAGGGAATCCCAGTAGTATGACAAATCTGAAAAATAGCACAAAACTGTTTAAACTTGGCACTGGTATAGTCTGGGCCATTGTCTGTCTTTATGTGGGCTGGTTTTCCCATTACAGAAAAGGCTAGAACAAGGTGAGAGAGAACATCTTTGGCAGTTTCTCCTGAGTGTGGTGAAGCAAAAACAAACCCGCTAAATGTGTCTATGGAGACATGTATATATCTTGTTTTTCCAAATTCAGGAAAATGGGTAACATCCATTTGCCAGATTTGATTGGGTAGCAGTCCACGGGGGTTAACACCCAGATGTTGTACAGGAAGGGAGACAACACAGGCAGGGCATGCCTTTACTATCTCCCGTGCTTGTTGTCTAGTAATTTTACAAAGCAATCGAAGGCTCTGGGAGTTTAGATGGTGGAGATTATGTAATTCTGTAGCCTTTTGGACAGACCCAACAAAAACCGGAAAAATGGAACGAGTGGCCGCATCAGCTTGAGCGTTACCCTGTGTAAGAGGGCCAGGGAGATCAGAATGTGCCCTAATGTGTCCCAGAAAAAATGGATGTCTCCTGGCCTGAATTAGCTGTTGAAGCTGAGTAAATAAAAATGCCGCATTGGAAGAAGTTTTAATAGCGGGTGAAATTTCTAGCAAGGGAACAGAATGAGCAATGTAAGCACTATCTGTATAAATATTAATAGGCTTATCAAAAAACGTCATAAAAACCTGTGTTATAGCAAATAACTCCACAAGCTGGGCTGATTGGTAAGGGGCATCAAAGGTGGTGGTATGGTTGTTAACAACAAAGGCTGCACGGCCATTGCTTGAGCCACTGCAAAGACAGTGAGGGCTTGAGGAATGGGAGCCTTTTGAGTAACCTTGGGAAAAACAAATGGATGTAGCTGGGCGAAGTGTAAAAGGGGATCATTGGGGAGATGATTGTCAATTAGTCCTAAAAATCCTGACAGGGCGATGCCCCATTCATCCCCAGTCTGGAGTAAAAATTGAGTCTGGTCTTTGGTGTATGGAATTAAAATGGTATCAGGGTCCTTGCCGAAATATTGTTGAGAAAGCAAGCGACCTTTGATAATGATAGAGGCTATCTGGGCAGGGTAAACAGCAATAACCTTGGGGGATGTGGTGGGTAAATGGACCCAAAGCAGGGGGCTGCCCTTATTATTGGAGTGGAGAATCTGTTGCCAAAACAATCCTGTGGGTGTATGAGGGGTATGTAAAATAATTAAGACCAGAGGAAGATTATAGGAAATCTGTGTAACAAACTGCTGGGCAATGGCCTCAGTAACTTGGGTTAAAGCATTTCGAGCATTGGGAGTAAGCTTGCGAGGAGAGGAGGGGTCAGAATCCCCTTTTAAAATCTCATTAAGAGGCAAAAGCACGCTGGTGGACAACCTTAGGTATGGCCTAAGCCATTGAATATCTCCAAGCAGCTTTTGAAAATCATTAAGGGGGTGAAGATGGTCTAAACGAAGTTGAATTTGAGGAACCCGAATTTGATTATTTTGGAGTTCTAGACCCAAATAAGTATAGGGATCCTGTGTTTGAACTTTATCGGGGGCAACCTGTAGTCCCAGGGCAGTAAGGGCTTTATAAAGGTCTAAATAGCAGTTTCTAAGTTCGTGGGTGTCAGGTGCAGCAAGCAACAAGTCATCCATATAATGTAATATATAGACGCGCTGCCATCGTTTTCTCACAGGGTCCACTGCCTGGGCAACATACTTTTGACAAAGGCTAGGGCTATTAGCCATACCTTGGGGGAGTACCTTCCATTGAAATCTTTGCATGGGGCCTTGAAAGTTAATGCGAGGAAGGCTAAAGGCAAAATAGGGTCTGTCCTCAGGATGTAGGGGAATGGTAAAAAAACAATCTTTTAAATCAATAACCATTTTGTAATAGTCCCTGGGAATAGCCACCGGTGTGGGAATGCCTGGCTGTAGCGCTCCCATTGGGCACATAGCTTTATTAACGGCGCGTAGATCTTGTAAAAGGCACCATTTGCCTGATTTTTTCTTTATAACAAAAATAGGAGTATTCCATGGTGAAGTAGAGGGCTCTATATGGCCTGCCACCAGCTGTTCCTGTACTAACATGGAGGCAGCCTCCAATTTTTCTTGGGTAAGAGGCCACTGATCCACCCACACAGGCGTTTGGGATTCCCAAATGATTTTATCTGCATGGGGCACAGGAGGGTCAGGGGCCGATACTAAAAATCCGAATACCCAAACCCATGTTTATCTATTTTTTGGGTAGCTTGGATGGGCTCAACGATTCCTTCTCCTGATTTTCCAAGACCCGTACCAGGGACAAAATCCATACTGAGCATTTGATGTGTAACCACAGAATTGGGACTAGCAAGGATAACTTTCATCTGGGTCAAGATATCGCGACCCCATAGGTTAACAGGGAGGTCAGGAACAACAAAAGGAGTTCCCTTATTGCCCTCTTTGTCAGTCCAATTAAGAACCCTGGAGCTTACCAAAGGGTTTTTTGACTGCCCTATGCCTTTAAGGTCAGTTAGGGACGGGGTAAGGGGCCAACTTGGTGGCCAATATTTTTGGGAAATAATTGTGGCATC